AAAATTGTGTGCAAAGAACTGCCAAAGTGACTTTCTCAAAGTAATAAGTTGTCCTAAGATGATTTTCTGTAAACCTACTTAGGCCTGGCAAAGATACTTTAAATATCAACACAACTTGGATTAATTTAATTTTAATTAATTAATTTATTTGTTGAGACGGAGTTTCACTCTTGTTTCCCAGGCTGGAGTGCAGTGGTGCGATCTTGGCTCACCACAACCTCCACCTCCCGGGTTCAAGCAGTTCTCCTGCCTCAGCCTCCGGAGTAGCTGGGATTACTGGCGTGCGCCATCACGCCCAGCTTATTTTGTATTTTTAGTAGAGATGGGGTTTCTCCATTTTGATCAGGCTGGTCTCGAAATCCTGACCTCGTGATCCACCCGCCTCAGCCTCCCAAAGTGCTGGGATTACAGACGTGAGCCACCGCGCCCGGCCTTGTATTAATTTTAGAAAAAGGGTGGCTTTAGGTTAAACACACATTTACAAAAGAGCAATGGTTCACCCCGGAGCTGACAGGTGCAGACTGATGTCAGTGAACCTTGCGTTGTATGAGCTTAAAAAAAAAAGTATTAAAATTTAAAATACAAAATTTGACACCAAGTGTAAACATCTTTGTGACTACAGACACTGGAGATACCAGCTGCCTCCCTGTATTTAGCAGCCTACACAAATGGTAAGGGGTGTGCCGCCGGATGTTAGCACGCTGGAGTGGCTGGGGTGGGAAGAACCGCTGGAAGCCAAGTAGATACACTCCAGGAAAATCATCAGAACTGAAGTTACAGAAAATGGAATCCCAGTAGCACAGTGGCAGCTAGATTCCTTTTGCTTTTGTCTGTAGCTTGCATTAGCAGAGTGCAATATCCAGTTACTATCCACTTTACTTTTCTTTTTTTTTTTTTTTTTTTTGAGACGGAGTCTCCCTTTGTCGCCCGGGCTGGAGTGCAGTGGCTGGATCTTAGCTCACTGCAAGCTCTGCCTCCCGGGTTCCCGCCATTCTCCTGCCTCAGCCTCCCGAGTAGCTGGGACTACAGGCGCCGCCACCTCGCCCGGCTAGTTTTTTGTATTTTTTAGTAGAGACGGGGTTTCACCGTGTTAGCCAGGATGGTCTCGAACTCCTGACCTCGTGATCCGCCCGTCTCGGCCTCCCAAAGTGCTGGGATTTCCACTTTACTTTTCTAATCGTGCAGACATCCCAAAAGGTAAAAGACCCCTATGCTTCCAGCCAGCAGCGGCTTTGCAGGACTGCCAGGCTCTCAGACCCCACATCACTTGGCCTTCTTGGTGGGGATAGCTCCCAGAATGCGGCTAAAAGCCAATTTTGCCCCTGGTCAGTCATGGAATAGCCCAGCTTAGCCTCACTGTTAATGAAGGACGTCAATCCCAGGCAGGTCTCCACGAGGAGGGGGCGCTCCACGACCAGCACGCGTGCGCTTGTCCTGGCAAAGGACTTTCCTTGTTGGCGTTTTTGACCTTGGATTCACAGAGCCTTGAGGCTTTCCATCTGGCACAGAGCTGCTGTGTTCTCATCCGCACCAGCCATGGCGTGTCGTACGAAACGGGCCCAGGGCATGTTTGTGGACCAGCGATTCCATCTGTTTACGAAGGAGAGGCGACTTCGCTTGTCCCACTGAATTCGAATCCCAAAACCTTCTCGCTTGTTGAGCGATTTAGGGGGAAACTGGAATTCCCGGCGGGAGACGGCGTGCCACCCGGGCCGCCTGCCAGCCCCGGATCGGATGAAGCCGTCTCCACCGCCGAGCGCCCCCTGCCGGTGACCGGCTCCCGCCGCCGCTTCTCACTGTCCCGGGCGCCCCTCGGCCGGAGCCGCAGCCCCGGGTCTCGCCGTCCTCCGCGGCCGCACGACTGCGCCGACTCCTCCCCCGCCGCTGGGTGCCGCGGGCGGGAACACCGAGGATTCCCTGACGGGTGCGGCGCTGGGCCCCAGACGCCTGGAGCCGCCGCCCCGCGCCCAGCTCCTCGCCCGCCGCCAGCAGCGCCCTGGGGCTCCTGCCCGCCGGGTCCACCGAGCCCCGCAGACGCCGCGCCCGACCCCGACGCCTCACTTTCATCTACCCAGGAATTTATTTTCCTTCCCTCCCTCCCTCCCTCCCTCCCTCCTTCCTTCCTCTTTCTTTTCCTTTCTTCTCTTCTTTTCTTTTTTCTTTTCTTTTTCTTTTTTGACAGAGTCTCTGTCGCCCAGGCTGGAGAGCAATGGCACGATCTCGGCTCACTGCAACCTCCACCTCCTGGGTTCAAGCCATTGTCCTGCCTCAGCCTCCTGAGTAGCAGGGACTACAGGTGCCTTGACCACGCCCGGCTAATTGTTTTTTGGTGTTTTTAGTAGTGACGGGGTTTCACCATGTTGGTCAGGCTGGTCTCGAACTCTTGATGTCAGGTGATCCGCCCGCCTCTGCCTCCCACACTGGTAGGATTAGAGGCGTGAGCCACAGTGCCTGGCCTTCTCTAGTAATTTCAAAATCGTTTTATTACAAGTCAATAAAATGTAAACAAATTAATAAAATTTAAAACATGCAATAAAGAGGATTTGTTCAATAAAGATAAATTCAATTACCAACAGCTGTTTTTTTTGTTGTTGTTGTTGTTTTGAGACAGGTTCTCACTGTCACCCAGGCTGCAGTACAGTGGTGGGATCTGAGCTCACTGTAACCTTTGCCTCCTGGGCTCAAGAGATCCTCCCACCTCAGCCTCCTGAGTAGCTGGAAGTAGCTGAGATTACAGGCTCATGATACCACACCCAGCTAATTTTTTTTTTTTTTTTTAGAGACAGGGTTTCACCATGTTGTCCAGGCTGGCCTCGAACTCCTGGACTCAAGTGATCCTCCCGCCTCGGCCTCCCAAAGTAAGTGCGCCCAGCCTATAGCATTTTCTTGACATAAAGGTCTACCATTATCTTAATGGTATAGAAAAAAAGTGTGTGTGTATGTATACATAAATATAAATATTGGGACCTATTACCTAGTAATAAAATAGAATTAGTTGAAGTATAGAAGTGAATTTTCTTTTGCCTCAAGCCTTAGCTTTAAATAACATGTGGGATTCAAAGTGAAGAATAACAATGCCCGGTGGCTCACGCCTGTAATCCCAGCAATTTGGGTGGCTGAGGCCGGCAGATCACTTGAGTTCTGGATTTGGAGACCAGCCTGGGAAACATGATGAAACCCAGTCTCTACAAAAAGTACAAAAATTAGCTGGGAGTGGTGGTACACCCGTAGTTCCAGCTATTGGGGGTGAGGGTGGAGAGCAGAAAAGGGGCTAAGGCAGGAGGATCTCTTGAACCCAGGAGGTTGAGGCTGCAGTGAGCTGAGATCATGCTACTGCACTCCAGCCTGGGTGACAAATGAGACTTTGTTAAAAACAACAACAACAACAACAAAGTAAAGAATAATCTTAGGCTGGGTGCAGCGGCTCACGCCTGTAATCTCAACACTTTGGGAGGCCAAGGTGGGTGGATCACTTGAGATCAGTAGTTCAAGACCTGCTTGGCCAACATGGTGAAACCCATCTCTACTAAAAATACAAAAATTAGCCAGGCATGGTGGCTCAAGCCTGTAGTCCCAATTACACGAGAGGCTGAGGCAGGAGAATCACTTGAACCAGGAGGAGGAGGCTGCAGTGAGCCGAGATCGTACCATTGCAGCCTGGGCAACAAGAGCAAAAAATTCCGGTCTCAAAAAAAAAAAAAAAAAAAACAAGAAGCTCATCATCCTTCATTAGTTATTAAGGTAACCTAACCCTCCTGAGTAGCTGAATTATCAGGCACCCACCACACCACACCCAGCTACTGTTTGTATTTTTAGTAGATGAGAGTGGGTTGTTACCATTTGGTCCAGGCTGATCTCGGAACTACTGACCCTCAGGTGAATCCACCACCTTGGGCCTCCCAATGCTGGATTATACAAGAGGAACCACCACATCTGGCTGAAATTACCACCATTCCTGATGTGGAAATATACAGAACAGTGAAAATTTTTAAGAATTTAGTTTGAAATACAGATATGCAGGACGTTGCAAATGTAAGAGTAGGGTCAGGAGCAAGAGCAAAGTTGGAGGTGCCACATACTTTCAAACAACCAGATCTCATGAGAACTCACTATCGTGAGGACAGCACCAAAAGGATGGTGCTAAACCATTCAGGGGAAACCACCCTCATGAGCCAATCACCTCCTGCCAGGCCCCACCTCCAACATTGGAGATTACATTTCAACATGAGGTTTGGGCAGGACAGATATCCACACCGTATCAATAGTGCAGAATACCTTTCACCTACTTTCCCCAGTAGTAACATCTTATATAACCTTATACATCATCAAAACCAAGAATGCGACATTGGTTCAATCCTCAGACCTCTTTCAGACCTCACCATTTTATACACTCGTTGTGTGTGTGTAGTTCTATGTATTTTTTTTTTTGAGACAAGAGTCTCTCTCTGTCACCCAGGCTGGAATACCATGGGGCGATCTCGGCTCACTGTAACTTGCACCTCCCGAGTTCAAGTGATTCTCCTGCCTCAGCCTCCTGTGTAGCTGGGACTACAAGTGCACGCCACCACGCCCAGGTTTTTTTTTTTTTTTTTTTTTTTTTTTTTTTTTTTTTTTTTTTTTTTTTTTTTTTTTTTTTTTTTTTTTTTTGAGACGGAGTCTCACTCTGTCACCCAGGCTGGAGTGCAGCGGCACAATCTCGGCTCACTGCAAGCTCTGTCTCCGAGGTTCACGCCATTCTCCTGCCTCAGCCTCCTGAGTAGCTGGGACTATAGGGGCCCACCACCACACCCAGCTAATTTTTTGTATGGGCAATAATTCAAATTCAGATTATGCCAAAACTGGAAAGACAGTTGTATTTTTCCATTATACTGTTGTCTCTGAGGCATACAAATAATATGACACCTCCCTCTCCCTCCAAAGGTGTTTACTCTGTAAAGCTGGCAGGGCCCAATTCTGTTTTTGAACCACCTTAAAGAGTGAATCAAATGCCAAGATAAAGGTAGCTTAAATAATAATACCTTTATTATTGTAAAAAACAAAGCAATGTGAGGCAGGCAGTTCCAAAGTTGGTGACTTAGAGGCTGGAAAAAATCCATGGAGGTGTCACATGAAACCAACATGTCTTGAAAGAAGAGTCCTTCTTGGCAAGCTGCCAACAACACTCATATTGGGTTCTCTGGCACAAAGCTGGGTCAAGTCCATGCCCTAACTTATCAGAGAGGAAGACTCAGACTATTCATGATTTCTTCTAGCAAACGGGGAGAAACAGAGGTCTGCTTCCTTCAGCAGGTTCAGGAGGTAAATGATGCACATTATGTGGACCTCACAGGTGGTAGATGTGATACGGCTTCTGCCTCAGAAACTGTCAGTGACATAAATGGCAAGAGCCATATATGGCAGGTAAGAAAGTCTAACACTTTCTAAATGGCAGGTTAGAAAGTGCAACACATACCTGGAACTTAAGGGGAATCTGCCCACTGTATATCCTTAGATGTTGGGGCTTCCAGTTCAGGTACTTGTCTCTCTCACAGGTGTACTCCTTCAGTATAATTACACTAAAAGGAACTTGCATATTCTCAGTACAGTTAAGGCTTTTCTCCAATGTGAACTCTCTGGTGTTGAATGAGGACAGATTTGCAGCCAAAGGATTTCCCACATTCGCTGCACTGATAAGGCCTTTTTCCAGTGTGAACTCTCCGGTGTTGAATGAGGCTAGAACTTTGGCTAAAGGATTTCCCACATTCACTGCACTCATAAGGCCTTTCTCCAGTGTGAACTCTCAGGTGTTTAATGAGGTTAGATTTACAGCTAAAGGATTTGCTACATTCACTGCACTCAACAGGCCTTTCTCCAGTGTGAACTCTCTGGTGGTTCTTAAGGTTGGAGCTATGGCTAAAGGATTTCCCACATTCCCCACACACATAAGGCCTTTCCCCTGTGTGGACTTTCCGATGTGAACTGAAGCTGGAGCTTTGCTTAAACGATTTCCCACATTTACTGCACTCATAGGGTCTTTCTCCAGTGTGAAGTCTCCGGTGGTGAATGAGGCTGGAGCTTCGGCTAAAGGATTTTCCACATTCATTGCACTCATGAGGTCTTTCTCCAGTGTGAACCCTCTGGTGGTAAATGAGGCTGAAGTTTTGGCTAAAAGATTTCCCACATTCACTGCATTCATAAGGTCTTTCTCCAGTGTGAACTCTGCGATGCTGCATGAGGTTGGACCTTTGGCTAAAAGATTTCCCACATTCGCTGCATTCATAAGGCCTTTCTCCAGTGTGAACTTTCCTATGGCTATTGAGGCTGTAGATCTGACTAAAGGATTTCCCACATTCAGGGCACACATAAGGCCTTTCTCCAGTATGAACTCTTTGGTGTATAATGAAACTGGAGTAGTAGGTAAAGAATTTTCCACATTCGTTGCATTCATAAGGCCTTTCTTCACTGTGGACCTTCTGGTGCTGAATGAGGTTACATCTTCGCGTACATGCTTTCCCACATTTGCTGCACTCAAAAAGCCCTTCTCTAGTGAGGATTCTCTGGTCCTGAACAAGTGTGTCTGTGTGGCTAAAGGCTTTACTGTATTTTCCCCAGTTGCGATGACTTTTTCCACTGTAAAAGGCCACCACACACTTGTTACTGTTATTTAGCTTCTCCCCTGTTTGAGTGGCCTCTTGATGGAGAAACCTCATGTTGGCCAGGAAGTCTTTCCTGATCTCCCTACAGGTGAAGGGCTTCTCCGACACGTGGACTGTGCAGCTCTTTGTAAATGAGGTTGTGTCCACGTAACTTGTGAAAGGTGCCTCTTTAATGTGCTGCCTCTGGTGCTGTTGAAGATTTGCATTGATGTAGAATTGTTTTCCATATGTGTGTAGTTTCTGCCCACAGTTTGTTCCTTGGTGTTCAGCCAAGTGCAAAATATCTCTCAAGACCAGGCCACATATTTCACAGGAGTAGGCATTCTGGGAAGATGAACCTTCTTTGGAAGTCCTGAACTGTGGCACTCCTTCGACAGAAATTCTCTGTTCAGAAGGTGTTTCCTCATGCTCCACTCCATGCCAACAACCTAAAAGTAAAGAGGTCGTGGTGAAGTACATGTTATCTTTATTAGGAGGAGGCAATGCAATCGCAAATGCACATCAGTTATAGCAAAGAACCAGCATATGGGCCTGTCTTCAGGAAAAGTGAGTTGGGGGTCAGGTTCAGGAAGCACCTGTTGTGCATTACTGGTCCCTAAGGTTATGGAATAGGGAGGGTGGGCCCTCCCAGGTACAGTACACAAGGCTAAGGTACGGCCCACGACTAAGAGGCATGTTCTACAATTAATTCCTCTGATAATAGCTTTTAGCGGGATCATATCTGCTGGTGACAAGTGATGCCGTGAAGTGTATGTCCAGCCCCAGGAAAACCTCACTGGAACGGTGTTCAGGGACTAGTAAGGGAGATATGCACACTTCAGGACAAAATAATATTACAGAATGCTACAGAGGGAAGAGTGTGAAGAACAGATGGAATAAGGAGTCCGGAGAGGTGAGGATTAGCATTAGCTAGAAGTCAAAATAAAAATGACAAGTAGGAGAAATAACAAGTTTGTAAACTGTTAAGAATGAAGAGGGGGCCGGGCGCGGTGGCTCCAGCCTGTAATCCCAGCACTTTGGGAGGCCAAGACGGGCGGATCACGAGGTCAGGAGATCGAGACCATCCTGGCTAACACGGTGAAACCCCGTCTCTACTAAAAAATACAAAAAATGAGCCGGGCGAGGTGGCGGCGCCTGTGGTCCCAGCTACTCGGGAGGCTGAGGCCGGAGAATGGCGGGAACCCGGGAGGCGGAGCTTGCAGTGAGCTGAGATCCGGCCACTGCACTCCAGCCTGGGCGACAGAGCGAGACTCCATCTCAAAAAAAATAAAAAAATAAAATAAAAAAAAAGAATGAAGAGGGGAAGGTCAAAGTGAAGTGTCTCGGGCAAAGGCATCAAGACAAGTCAAACAGGACAGGTTCCTGGTGCAATTTAAACACAGACCTGATGACATGCCTTTTCCCAAGTGCCATTCATGTAGGCCAGGCCCTCTCTGATCCCATCTTGCTGAGGCTGGAGTCATGAACATCCTGTGAAGAACAGAGGACACTTCCCCTAGTCCTAGTTGAGCAACTACATGAGACCAGGATGATGTAAGTCCTAAGGGAAAGACAGGACACGTGAGCAACTAACACTGGCCCAGAAGAACTGGGCACAAAAAAGAACAAGGAAAGTTAAAGAAGTTAAGTTTGTATAAATTCAAGTTAGTGTTGTAACTTTAGGATGCTAAATGTAATTCCCATGGTAACTATTTAAAAAAAAGAGCTACATAAAGTATACAAAGAACTGGGCATGGTGGCTCATGCCTATAATCCCAGCACTTTGGGAGGCTGAGGTTGCTGGATCAACTGAGGTCAGGAGTTTGGGACCAGCATGGCCAACATGGTGAAACCCTGGCTCTACTAAAAATACAAAAATTAGCTGGGTGTGGTGGTGTGTGTTTGTAATCCCAGGAGGGATTACTCAGGAGGCTGAGGCAGGAGAATCGCTTGAACATGGGAGGCAGAGGTTGCAGTGAGCCAAGATCGCCCCACTGCACTCCAGCCTGGGCGACAGAGCAAGACTCCATTAAGAGAAAGAAAGAAAGAAAGAAAGAAAAAGTACACAAAGGAAATGACAAGGAATTAAAAAGTTTCAGTACCAAAAAAAAAAAAAAAAGTGAGCCGAACACAAAAGAAGCAGTAATGTAGGCAATTAGGATCAAAAAAGCTATAAGGCTATAAGACATGGGGAAAACAAAGAGCAACATGATAGAAGTCAACCCGTCCTTATCAGTGATTACCTTAAACGTAAATGCCTTAAACTCTCCAAACTTTTAGCTTAAACTCTGCCAAAAGACAAAGATTGGCAGAATGGGTTAAAATGAAAACCACCCATGATCCAACTTTATGATATCTACAAGAGATTCGCTTTAGATCCAAAGATATAAATAAGGTGGAAGTGACAGGCTACAAAAAGATATTCCATGCAAATAGCAAGCAAAAAAGAGTAAGAATGGCTACACTAATATCATACAATAGAGACTTTAAATCAAAAAGGGTAACAAGAGATATAAAAGGATATTATATACTAATAAAAAAGGTCAATAGAGCAAGAGGACATAACATTTATAAACACTTATGCACCTAATAATAGACCACCAAAACACATGAGGCAAAAATGGACAGAACTGAAGGGAGAAATGGATGGTTCTACAATAACGGTTAAATACATCGATACCTGACTCTCAGCAGTGGACAGAAGAATCAGAGAGAAGTGAGAAAACAGAGGACCTAAACAACCAACTAGCTCTAACAAATATATAAAGAGTATTCTACCCAACAACAACAGAATACACATTCCCTTCATGTGTACCTAGAACATTCTCCAGGACAGACCATAAATTAAGCCTCATTTGATTTAGAAAGACACACATCATACAAAGTATCTTCTCCAACCACAGTGGGATGAGGTTGGGAACTCTTAATAGAAGGAAACTAAAAAATTTACAAATCTGTAGAAATTAATACAATACTGAACAACCAGTGGGGCCATGAAGAAATTAGAAGGGAAATAAATTGGAGATACAGTAAAAGCAGTACTAAAGGGGAAATTTATAGCTATAAACCTTAAAAAGATGAAAGATCTCAACTCAACAATCTATTTTTACAACTTAAGGGATTATAAAAAGAGGAACAAACTAAAACCAAAGCTGGCAGGAAAAAAATAATAAAGACTAAAGCCTAGATAAATAAAATACAGAAGAGAAAAACAATAGAAAAAAAAAAATCAACAAAACCAAAAGGTGTTTCTTTGAAAAGGTTCTCAAAATTGACAAACCTGGCCAGGTGCAGTGGCTCATGCCTGTAATTCCAGCACTTTGGGAGGCCGAGGCAGCGGGTGGATCACCTGAGGTCAGGAGTTCAAGACCAGCCTGGCCAACGTGGTGAAACCCTGTCTCGATTAAAAATACAAAAATTAGCCAGGTGTGATGGCATGTTCCTATAACCCCAGCTACTCGGGAGGTCAAGGCAGGAGAATTGCTTGAATCCAGGAAGTGGAGGTTGCAGTGAGCCAAGATCACACCACTGCACTCTAGCCTGGGTGTCAGAGCAAGACTCTATCTCAAAAAAAAAAAAAAAAAAAGACAAACCTTAAAGAAAAGCCCTTGACTTGATGGCTTCACAGATGAATTCTACCAATCATTTAATTGGCTGGGCGCGGTGGCTCATGCCTGTAATCCCAGCTCTCAGGGAGGCAGAGGCAGGAGGACAGCTTGGGCCCAGGAGTTCGAGACCTGCCTGGGTAATATAGCGAGATCCCGTTCTCCACAAAAAGGGAAAAAAAAAAAAGACAATCATTTAATGAAGAACTAATACTTATCATTTTCAAATTCTCTCAAAAAACTGTAGCGTACACACTTCTAAACTCATTCTACATGGCCAGCATTACCCTGATTCCAATCCAAATGACACAAAGATTGTGTAAGAAAACACAACTACAGACCAATATCCTTGATTATTAATGCAAAAACCATCAACCAAATATTAGCAAACTGAATTCAACAGCATATTAAAAGGATTATGCACTACCACCAGATAGAATTTATTCCTGGAATGCAAGGATGGTTCAACAAACAAAAACTGATCAAAGTGATGGCTTGCACCTGTAATCCCAGCTACTTGGGAGGCTGAGGCAGGAGGATCGCTTGAGGCCAGGAGCTTAAGACCAGGCTGTGTAACATAGCAAGACCCTATCTCTAAAAAAATTAAAACAATCATCTCAGCTGATGCACTAAAAGCATTAGACAATATGCAACACTTCTTCGTGAGGAAAACACTCAGTAAACCAGGAATAGGGGGAAATTAACTAAACATAATAAAATCCATATGCAAAAAAAACAAAAACAAAAATAAAACCCACAGCTAAAATTATACTCGACAATGAAAGACTGAAAGATTTGCCTCTAAGATTAACAACAAGATAAGGATGACTACTTTTAGCACTTCTGTTCAATGTAGCAATTAGGCAAGAAAAAGAAAGAAAAGGGACCAAAATGGGAAAAGAGGAGTAAAATTATCCCTACTCACAGATAATATACATGGAATACCATAAAGATTCCACGAAAAAACTGTTACAACTAATAAGCAAATTCAGCAACTAGAAGAATACAAATACAACATGCAAAAATCAGTTACGCTTCTATACACTAATGATGAACAATTTGAACAGTAAACAATTCCACTTATACCAAAAAGAATAAAACATTAAAGATTAACTTAACCAAACAAGTAAAAGCCTTGTACACTAGAAACTACAAAATATTGCTAAAATGAATTAAATAAAACATTAATAAAAGAAAATATAGCACATGTCTGTTCATGGACTAGAGGGCTCAATATTGTTAAGATGTCTATACTAGACAAAGTAATCTACAGAAAGTGCGATACCTTTCGGCTAGGCGCGGTGGCTCAAGCCTGTAATCCCAGCACTTTGGGAGGCCGAGATGGGCGGATCACGAGGTCAGGAGATCGAGACCATCCTGGCTAACATGGTGAAACCCCGTCTCTACTAAAAATACAAAAAAAAAACTAGCTGGGCGAGGTGGCGGGCGCCTGTAGTCCCAGCTACTAGGGAGGCTGAGGCAGGAGAATGGCATAAACCCGGGAGGCGGAGCTTGCAGTGAGCTGAGATCCGGCCACTGCACTCCAGCCCGGGTGACAGAGCGAGACTCCGTCTCAAAAAAAAAAAAAAAAAAAAAAGTGCGATACCTATCAAAATCCAAATGACGTTACTTTGCAGAAATAAAAAAATCCATCCTAAAATTCATTTGAAATATTAAGAGACACAGAACAGCTAAAACAATTTTGAAAAGGATGAAAGTTGGAAGACTCACAGTTTGTAATTTCAAAACTTACTGCAAGGCTAGAGAAATTAAAACTGTGGTACTCCCATAAAGAAAGACATATAGATCAATGGACTAGAAGAGACCCCAGAAATAAACCCTCAAATATCTGGCCAAATGATTTTTGACCAGGTGAAAGAAGACAAATTTTCAACACATGATGCTAGGAAAACTGGGTATCTACATGTCAAAGAATGAAGTTGGTCCCTTACCTGACACCACATATAAAAATTAATTCAAAACAGATCAAAGAGCTGAATGTAAGCACTAAAACTGTAAAACTCTTAAAACAAGGAAAAAGCTTCATGACACTGGACTTGTTAATGATTCCTTGGATATGATATAAAAAGCATAGACAATAAAAGTAAAACAGTAAAACGGAATTCATCAAAATGAGAAACTTGTACATCACAGGATCCTATCAACACACTAAAAATGTAACCCACAAAATAAGAGAAAACATTTGCAAATCACATATCTGATAAGGGAGTATCTAGAACACAGATAACTCTTAAAGTTCAATAAAAAATTATATTTAACACTTCTAATTACAATTAATAAAACCCAATTTAAAAATAGGGAAAGGACTTGAATAAAAACATCATTTGAAGATATACAAATAGCCAATCAGCACATGAACAGATGCTCAATATCAGTAATCTGCAAATCACAACCACAATGAGATATCACCTCACACCAATTTGGATGACTTATCAAAAAAAGTCAGAAAATAACAAGTGATGGTGAGGGTGTGAAGAAACTAGAACCTTTGCTGCTTGTGGGAATGTAAAACGGTACAGCTGCCATGAAAAACAATTCTAGTGGTTCCTTAAAAATTAAAAATAATTACCTTATGATCCAGAAATTCTGCTTTTGGGCCAATACTCAAAAGAATTGAAAGCAAGAACACAAATATGTATCTGAACACCCACGTTCACAGTAATATTATTCACAACAGCCAGAAGGCAAAAACAACCTGTGTCCACTGATGAAGGAATGGATAAACTAATACATACAAAAGAATATTATTCAGCCTTAAAAAGAAGCAATTCTGGAGGCCGGGCGCGGTGGGCTAAGCTGTAATCCCAGCACTTCTGGAGAGGCCGAGGATGGGCGGATCACGAGGTCAGGAGATCGAGACCATCCTGGCTAACATGGTGAAACCCCCGTCCTCTACTAAAAAAATTACAAAAACTAGCCGGGCCGAGGTGGCGGGGCGCCCTGTAGTCCCAGCTACTCGGGAGGCTGAGGCCGGGAGAACGCCGTAAACCGGCGAGGTGGAGCTTGCAGTGAGCTGAATCCGGCCACTGCATCCCAGCCCTGGGCACAGAGCGAGACTCCGTCTCAAAAAAAAAAAAAAAAAAAAAGAAGCAATCTGATACACATTACAACATGGGATGAACCTTGAGATATTATGCTAAGTGAAGTAACCAGACAGAAAAAGCAAATATTGTGATCCCACTCAATTGGAGGTACTTACGGTAGAAAATTCATACAGACCAAAAGCAAAATGGTGGTTGCCAGGGATGGGAAGAGTTATTGCTTAATGAGTACAAAGTTTCAGTTTTATAAGATGAAAAAAAAGTATACAGAAGATGGTGGGTGATAGTTGTACACAATGTGAATGTACTAAATGCTGCTGAACTATATACTTGAAAATGATTAAAATAAGCCGGCCCAGTTGGCTCACGCCTGTTATCCCAGCACTTTGGGAGGCTGAGGCGGGTTGGATCGCCTGAGGTCGGGAGTTCGAGACCAGCCTGACCAACATGGAGAAACCCCGTCCTCTACTAAAAATACAAAATTAGCTGGGCCTGGTGGCACATGCCTATAATCCCAGCTACTAGGGAGCTGAGGCAGGAGAATTGCTTGAACCTGGGAGGCGGAAGGTTGCGGTGAGCCGAGATCGTGGCCATTGCACTCCCCTGGGCAACAAAGCGAACTCCGCCCTCCAAAAAAAAAAAAAGAAAAAAGAAAATGATTAAAATAGTAAAGTTTGTTATATATATTTTACAATTAAAAACAAACAAAGAAGAACACCTTGGAGGAGGTTTTTATAAGAACAGTCTGTGTAGTGTCTCTGTGGTGCAATTCGTTAGAGTGTTCTGCTGTTAATGGAAAGGTTGGTGGTTCAAGAACAGTTTGTGTAAATAGTGACAATGTCAGTGACTGCATTTCATGTCACAGTCAAGCACAAATAAAGGTCGGGTACATGAAGGGAGGGAAAACTGGATGCCATAGATCTAGAAAGTTACCAGACAGGGAGAAGGCAAGTCAGGTGGGATCTATTAGGCTTACTGTAAGATGTGGGTAAGGATTGATCCCAAATCCTTACCCAAGGTGCTTTTAGGCAGGGATGATAAGGGAAGTAGGCTTGCACTCAGTCCACAACACCTACCCAGGGAACTGGGGAAGGAGGCAGTGCCTATGGTCCAGATATGAGCTGCTCCTGAGGAAAAGGAGAAACACAGAGCCTGGTACAGGGCACAAGGGTGAGTATGAGGGCCTTACCCAGGGAGGATGTAAGTGCAAAGTTCTCCAGCATCACATCGAAGTACAGGTGTTTCTGAGCCTCATCAAGGAGATCCCATTCCTCCCAGGAGAAGTACACGGCCACATCTTCAAAGGTCACACTTCCCTAGCATAATAGGGATTGATGAAACCATGAACAGTCTCACTTTGGAAGACTCAAAATTCATGTCCTCATACATTCTCCTCCCAAGCTCCCTAAGTCAGAAGAGACACCAGACCTTGGTGTCATTGATCCCTGCTGTCTCTTCACATTCCCATTGGTCACTGTTTTCATTCTGTTTTCTACTCTGTATCCTGTCACACTTGGGTTAGAGAAATCTCCCTCCTCTTATCCCAAACTCCAACTTCCTCACAATAGATGCCAAACTTCACAGAAATGAAGGAAACCTGCAGTTCCCTGAACCAGTTCAGTCTCACCTCCAAGGAGTTCCAAAAGCTGGTACTATCATAAACTTTCACCCCTTTACATTGGCTGCTCCAAATGGAAACACTGGCCTGGACTCAGCACCCTGAGCTCAGGGATTCTCTAGGGTTCCCAAACCAACAGCTGAGAGAATGGTAGGTGAGTCCCATTACACCACAAATCTAAAGAAAATATCTGTGTGGGGAGGCAGGAGGGACATTCCAGACCAGTGAGGGGCTGAGATACCTCCACTTACCTGTGTAAGCTTGAAAAGTACCTCTGTAGCTATGGGAACCTGTGGAAAGACGCAGGCCTCAGAGGAATGTGATCATGGGAGTGCTCCATGGGCACAGACCTTCCCTGTACCCTTGCCTCGGCCGAGAGCCACGTAACTTTGGGTCGACCGTCTAACCTGTGCGCCTCAGTCCTTAGTGCTGCCTCTCACCAGTTGTGTGGCCTTGGGAAAATATTCAACCTCCCTCTGCCTCAACGTCCTCATCCATCTCTAAAGTCTTTTCTTCCACTGAACAGCCTGCAGAGGATTTTTCAAATCCTAACTCAGATGGTGTCTCTCGTTTAAGCTCTCTATGGCTCCCACGGCCCTAAGAATAAAGGTAGATCTCTCTCAAACTTTGTTCCCTGCAGTAACAATGTGGAGCCCAGGTTCCTGAATGCCCCCTTCTCGGTCGTCCATCCAAGCTCTGCAAGCGCCGGTCCTGTCCCTTGTCCCCCTGCCCACCACATCGGATGTCAGAAACAGGGGCCCCACCCACGAGCCTCAGTGTCCCCGACCCTGTGCTACAGAAACGTGAGCTGGTGCCCCTCACTTGGGACTTAAGAATCGCGGCCGGGGGAGGTCCGGAGATCGCAGTGCTCACCGGAGCCGGGTCCCTCAGTGCGGTCGCCATCCGAGTCTGTGGGCGGAGCTGGACCGGGAGCTGCGGGCGACCGGGGGGGAACACGAGCACCGCTATCCCCAGGCAGGCCTCGCGGGCGGCTCTGCCCCCGACCCTCACACCTGACTGTCGCGCCTTCACTGTCCGTCACTTCGATGCCGAAGAGGCACACCAAGGAGGCTGACGGATAGAACGGACCGGAGGGCAGCCAAAATGACCGCTGCGAACACGCCAGAAGTCCCGCCCCGAGGGGCACGCCCACACGGAAATGCCCCTGTCTTGGATTTTCATTGGACCAGAGTACTGCCGCTCGACGCAAAGCTTTCTGGGAAATGTAGTCTCCCCAAGGCTGCGGCAGACGGCGCCTTGTGTGCAGACTGCTGGGAGCGCTAGGAAACTGAGTCTGCCGCCCTCCAGGGCGACTGAGGGGCTTCGGTGTTTGAGGTCTTAAGTAGGTTGACACTTGAACAACACAGGTTTCAGCTGTGCGGGTCCATTTACACGTAGGCTTTTTTTTTTTTTTTCTCCCCATAAACGTTACTTCGAGTGTGCTCCTTTAGCTCCCCCACCTCTTGCCCCAGAGACAAGATCAGCCCCTCCTCATTCTCTTGCCTAGCGTGAAGAACACAAGGATGAAGACCTTTATGATGATACACTTCCACTTAATGATTAGTAAATGTATTTTCCGTTCCATATTCTTTTATTTTCCTTTTTTTATTGGGTGAAATGTCAACGAGCCTCTTATAATTTTCCTGATACCCTTTCTCTAGTCTGTTTTAGTATAAGTATAGTTCTTACACTAAAATACATATAATGCATATATCATACAAAATGTGTAATCATATATATATGTGTTATGCGTATATCATGCATATATCATACAAAATGTTAATCGATTGGGAGTTTATGTAATTCATAAGGCTTCTGGGCAACTTCATAAGGCTTCCGGGCAACAGTCGGCTATTAGTAGTTAAGGTCTAGGGGAGTCAAAAGTAATACGAGGATTTTCAATTCCGCGGGGGTCGGTGTCAGCTGTATATCAGTCTCTAGTGTAGAGGATCACTTCAGTATTTAGACATCATTTCAGATTCCATGCAGCCCACCCCAGCAGATGTCCACTGGTAGCTGGAAGTGAAAAAATGTTATCTTATTGCTCTTCAAATGCATGCAGCCTGAAGTGTTAAAGTCACTTTTTGTAGGTTTTGTCAGGGACAAAAGATGTCAGACAGGGCTATGACGGGAAGATAGTGGAGGGATAGTGGGCAGCCCTGAATCCAATGGACAAGGAAAGTTCCCTGCTTCTGGTGCCCCCAGAAAACGCTCTCCTGCCTGCAAAGTCAGTTTTGTTCATAAAACATGAAGCTTTAATACATGAATGTTCATTTTCCTCGTATAATCAAAATATTTAATTTTTTTTTTGAGACAGGGTCTCATTGTTGTCCAGGCTGGTGTACAGCGGAACAATCATAGCTCATTGCAGCCTCAACCTCCTGGGCTCAAGTGATCCTCCGGCCTCAGCCTCTTGAGTAGCTGGGACTACAAGCACACCACCACATCCGGCTAATTAAAAAAAATTATTGTAGGAATGGAGTCTCCCTATAGGGCCCAGGCTAGTCTCAAACTCCTAGGGCCATGCAATCTTCTTGCCTCAGCCTCCCAAACTGCTGAGATTACAAGCGTGAGTCACCATGCCCAGCCAAAAGTTTTTAATGCATAAAATATCAAATTATGATCATTATTTTAAACAGGGCCTCACTCTGTCGCCCAGAAAGTTTATATTATTTTAAGGTACATATATGCACATTGTTAAATGTACACATATACATTTATATATACTAGATCAAATTTTACATTTCACAATAAAAATGATCCTTTAGGACAAATTAATACCAATAAAATAAAATAAAATTAAAAATTGTAAAATGATTTTATCAAATATATAATGTATTTCTTTACACATTTACTACAAAAATTTATAAGTGGAATGACTACTATTGTACATCTGGTTAGATCTCACAATGGGCTTGTCATTGTTTTTAGGAAAAAGGTTAGAGTTCTCGGCTGGGCCTATATTACACAACCAACCATTACATATTGCTTCACCTCCTACCATGTATCTCCTCTACATTCCACACATGCTGGATTTCTTCAGAACCCTGAAAGCTGTGTGTGCATTCACATGCAGGGATCTTTCCAGGTTACTTTTTTCCTACCTGAGACTGCTGAATCCTATTATGCTCTAAAAATTCATACTTTCAGGTAACCAACTGAAAAACTAGTGAAAAATGACACAACTCGTCAGCCATGGTGGCTCACGCTTGTAATCCCAGCACTTTGGGAGGCCAAGGTGGGCGAATCACCTGAGGTGAGGAGTTCAAGAACAGCCTGGCCAACGTGGTGAAACCCCGTCTCTACTAAAAATTCCAAAATTAGCCAGGGGTGGTGGCGGGCACCTGTAATCCCAGTTACTCGGGAAGCTGAGGCAGGAGAATCAGAATCACTTGAACTTGGGAAGTGAAGGTTGCAGTGAGTTGAGATCGCGCCACTGCATTCCAGCCTAGGTGACAGAGCGAGAGTCTGTCTCCAACAACAACAAAAAAGGACACAACTCTTTATGTCCAAATTCAATGTTTCCATCCATTGCACGTACTCAAAACTTCCCAGTACTCCTCATGAGGTAATGAAGCACAATTAGCTGAAGTAAGTTTTGTATAATCATATAAAATTTTCAGGGCTGGACTTGGTGGCTCATGCCTGTAATCCCAACACTTTGGGAGGCTGAGGCGGGTGGATCACAAGGTCAAGAGATCAAGACTATCCTGGCCAACATGGTGAAACCCTGTCTCTACTAAAAAATACAAAAATTACCTGGGCATGGTGGCGCATGCCTGTAGTCCCAGCTACTCGGGAGGCTGAGGCAGAAGAATCGCTTGAACCCAGGAGGTGGAGGTTGCAGTGAGCCGAGATCATGCCACAGCACTCCAGCCTAGTGACAGTGCAAGACTCCGTCTCAAAAGAAAAAAAAAAAAGAAACATCTTGATTAAAAACCGAAATGGGCAAAGACTTTAGGTTTAGATACCTCACCAGAGAAGATACGCAGATGACAAATAAGTGTATGAAAAGATAATCCCTGTCATATGTCATCAGGGAAGTGAAAATTAAAACAGCAGTGAGATACCACTACACATCCATTAGAATCAACAACCTCTGACAATTGCAAATGGTTGAGAAAATGTACAGCAACAGGAGCTTGGTGGTTCCTTACAAACTAAACCACACTTTTACCAACAATGTGGTAACCATATTTTCAGAATTATCCGTATGAATGGAAAATTTATGTCCACACAAAAACCTGTACATGTATGTTCTATAGCAGTTTTATCCAAAATTGGCTACCTGGAGCAACAAAAATGTCCTTAAGTGAATGGATTAGAAAACTGTAGTATATCTAGACAATGGACATTACTCAATGCTGAAGGTAAAATGAATCATGAAGACATGAAAAACATGGAGTACCTTGTATGACTTACCACTAAATGAAAGAAGCCAATCTGAAAGGCAATATGCTGTATGATTCCAATTAATGACATTTGAGAAAAGGTAAAGTATGAAAGAGCAAAGAATTAGTGGTTCTGGGGGTTAGAAGGGGTAGGAGGGATGAATTTTGTGGAGCACCAGGGATTAGCAGGCGATGAAACTATTTTATATGACACTCTAATATTGGACACGTGTCATTGTACCTTTGTCCAAACACAGAATGTACAACACTAAAGTGAACCCTAATGTAAAGTAGGGACTTTGGGTGATAATGATGTGTCAGTGTAGGTTTACAATTGTTACAAATGTGCCACTCCGTTGGGGTTGGCGGAGGAGGAGGGGAACGGCTATGCATATGTAAGGTGTTGCAGGGAGTATATGGATATCTCTTTTACCTTTCCCTTAATTTTACTGCAAACCTAAAAGTGCTCTTAAAAACTTAGTATAGGCCGGCGTGGGGGCTCCAAGCCTGTAATCCCAGCACTTTGGGGACCGAGACGGGCGATCACGAGGTCAGGAGATCGAGACCATCCTGGCTAACACGGTGAAATCCCGTCTCTAACCAAAAAATACAAAAACTTAGCCGGGCGGGGTGGCGGGGGGGGCCTGACTGTAGTCCCAGCTACTAGGGAGGCTGAGGCAGGAGAATGGCGTAACCCCGGGAGTGTGAGCTTGCAGTGCGCTGAGATCCGGCCACTGCACTCCAGCGCGGCGACAGAGCGGAGACTCCGTCTCAGAAAAAAATACCCAAAAACAAACAAAAAACAAAACAAAAACTTAGTAATAAAATAAAGATTTGTGTCCCAGCACCAATAGGCCCAGGTGGGAAAAAGGATAAATTTCAAAAAAAAAAAAAAAAATGTGGCTGCCCTCAGAGTCTATTCTGCGTCCTCCTTGAATATAGTTGGGGATCAAATTTTCCCTGCAGGTGAGCCACAAGGTTGCATACCTTTGTAAACTTTCTCGAGGAATATGTTCCAAAAACAAGTATTTCCAGGATAGCAGTCCAATGACCTGGCAGTGTCAATCACGGGCAAAGGCAAAATATGTTGAAAGATAGCTTGACAAGGCAGGTCTGAGATAATGGACCATGTGAATGGATATACCGGGGTGAATTGTGCACACTGGGAGATTTTTTATGGTAATCAAACAGTCACCAGCCACTCTTGAATTGTGCTTTGTCCACAGTGATTTGTTCAACTTCCAGGCAGCTCACTACTTTTTGGACATTGGTACTGGCTATTTCCTTTCCATACGCACATTTTCCCTGTGTTTACAATCACTGTCCCTCTCTCTGCTTCTGGCCTTAATACATGCCTCAAATATTAATCTCCACCTACAAGGGACAACCCTGACCCTATTTCTATAGAAATTCCTACCTACCTCCTCACATGTGTGTTATTACTGGTGCTGATATTCTGATATT